TTTAAGATTTAATCAAAGAATGTAAATAATGTATGGTGCTTAATATGCTCTATGGATTTTTCTTTTCAAATTATATTTTTAACATTAAAGGTAATTTAGATTATGAAAAATAATTTTATTTGAAAATAAATATCTTGAATCTCTAATCTTAGTGGAGAATTAATCACAATCCATGTTATAGCCACCAAATGAAAACAAAGATATTGATTCAAGTAAAAATGTTGATGACATGTTGACACATGAGCTCTATATTATACTAAATAATTCACAAGTTTCTATGTACATAAAATAGAACTATATAAAAATGAATTTCATCCACTTATTGTTACTAAGTTATCTTTTAGAATTTATAGAACACTCAACTAAATTCCTTCTTGTTTAGTTATTTGGTGTTTGTAATTAGAAACATATATTTTTGTATGAGATCGGTTCAAATGGTTTCTTTAGATTAGTTTTACAAGAGCATATAGAATTACAAAATAACACACATTTTTAGAGAATCAAATAAATTGTTTTATAAGCACCTCTGCTTTCAAGATTGTCATTGAAACAAGTCATGTACTTTAAAAAAAGTACTTTCTAACTGCATGTAATTAGAAGTTTCTACAATTTGATACATGAAATTAATACACCAATCATGTATATATATTTATATTTATTGAAGGAAATAAAAATAAAAATTGAGAGTGTAAATTAACCACACAAACCAGGATGATATGATGTTATTTTTATGTATATATATATATATATATATACAGATTTCAATGGTCGTTTGAATCATAAAAGTGTCGGAAATCATTAATGTTTCTACTCGGTCTCTGGAGTCTGACATTGTAGTCATAGGGTTAAATTTTAAAAATATAAAATACTTATAAAACAACGACGGAATTAAGTTGACTGACATGCAATGGTGTCCGGGAGCGACAGATCATGATCTGGAAACTTCGACAGCAAATCCTTCAGTCAGTTAATCGATATAATTTATCTTTACCCACAAAGATATTTTCTCAAAATCCGATTCATAGTTGACATTTTCTTCACGTCATCACAATTATAAGCAACAAAGTTGAACTTATAAAATGTGAATGGATTCAAAAGTCATGGACCAGATTCTAGAAGAAGCTTAACACTTCCCCTGATCTGCGAATTGGAATGAAAAAATGTCACAAACAATCGCATACAATAAATTATTTCAGGTTTGCAGAATCGTATAGAATCGGTTTATGATTTCATCATCTCAACTTTCCTAGCTACCTTGTAACATACCTAAAATTTCCCTGTTCGCGTTTAAGATCCCACTCGATGTAGGTACATGCAACGGTTAAAGATCCAGTTTAGTTCAAAAGCATCACAAATTATGTCAGAAGTAATTCCAAGATGACCAGCATTCATGAATTGTTTTAACTGGTCAACATATTATGAGCAATTAAGTCATAGGTCGATGGATCATCGAACAGAAGCAAACCCTGCTTCTTTGATCTCCATGATCAACTGGAAGGGGAAAGAAAATGCCCAATCCTCAGTCACATCGCAGTCATTCATAGACCAACTAGGGCTTCTGAATAATTCTAGAGCTTCACAGATTGAAATCATAGGATGGAAGAGAGACAAGAGAGACTCCACTTTACGAGACAGGGAACATCTTTTACGAAACATTCCACCTGCCGGCTGGGACAGGTGCAGAGTAAGGACTGGCTCCAGTGACAACGGTCAACGGTATTACAGAGTCTAGCGATGAAAATAGGGACCAGACCTTGAAACCCCAAGTTCAGGACACAAGACCACAGCCTACACAATCCTTAACTTCCGATAATTCTGTGAGAAATGAATCGAAAACATCACAACAAGCGCAATTCTTTGTTTAATCGCATCGACAAACCTGGAACAGAACAGCGTCGACGAAAAGAGTACAACACACTCGTCACAGTTGAACATATCACAGTAACACAAAAGTACGCACGCAGCGACTTGCATCGACCAGTGAATCAATCCCGACCCCCTCGAATTCTTAATACTTCAAACATCCCATACAAGCGACGCAAAAACGAGGTACAGCTCGAGCAGCATGAAAGAAAGCACTGATCGGGGTGAATGAAAGGCGGCAACGAAATTCCGAACAGTGTAAAGGAACGATCGGGAGTCAAAGCAAAGAATGGTGAGAAGCAAGAGGTGATCGCAGTGGGAGAGGAAGGCACAGCGCAATAGAATGGAGGCAGCAGCAGCTATATGTATTAAAAAAAGCTTTAAGCCTCGCCCAGCACAAGAACTACTAAACAACAACAACCACGTCCTCGACGGTTCTGGAAACACACGCAAGTGTTCGAGAAACCATGATACCCGGAATGTACCCTTATTAGGCCCTGTTGCAGTATGTACGTATTGATACCCTAATTTGGTGATGCTCTCTGATATCTGGGGATCGCGACGCGACATTGATACCCTGGAGGAACGAAGCTCTATGATATCCGGGAAAGCGGGAAACTCTCGTCATACGTGAAAATAAATATTTTTCGCGTCATGTGTATCAATTTTTGCAAAAAATAATATTTTTAATCAGTTAAAAAGCATTGGATTTTATTTTCTTGAATTATTTCTCAGAACAATGTGAAAGCATTGTGCTGAAACTTTTTATTTATTATATTAGAAAGAAAAAAATTAATCTTTTTTATAATTTTATCATTAACTCTTCATGTATACATGTGAATTTCAAATGAATGAGATAACAAGAACATCAAGTTCAAATTATCTTTTTGTCTTGAAACTAATTTCTGACGCTATCAAATTTAAAACAACACAAAATTAATATGTTTTAATTCACATGCAACAAAGAAAGCAAAAGACAAAAAAAAATTATAGTTGCAAACATAATGATTTGTATAGGTATGTGTATGTATGTGCATATATATATTTATATATTTATTTATTGAAAATAATATAATATAACTAGTGGAAACATGTACCATTGGGCACAATAACTATTTTTATATAAATTAAGGCAACATATATGAAAGGGCTACATTTATTTTTACATTGGAAAAGGTCATCAATGTAAACAATATTTTGACAAAAATTTAGGCAACATACAACAAGAAAGGGCAACATGTGTGAAAGGGTTACATACATGTTTACCTTGTGAAAGAGCATGTGTTTTTAGTGATTTTGGCATATATTTTAATTATTTTATTGGACAACATTTTTATAATATTGTAGGAATATGCAATGACTATTGAAATTTGTGGAATAAATTATATTTTACTGACGTAATTATACCTTTCTTATATTTTCTATTTCTATATTAACATATGTTTATACAAATTATTACAACATTAAGAATTTCAAAAGAATAAATGGACCAATATTTGCATTTCAAATTGAAATTAATTGTTATTTGTATCCATGACTTTTTGCATTCTCTGCAAGCACAATAACTACATGCACTTTATATTTCAAGTTGAGGTGATACTTTGATTACATAAACATGGAAAATGTTCATAACTATTTGAGTTGAGGATATTCAAAAACAATTCTAATCAAGCATATTTTTTTACATTTTATTTATTTTATTTTTCATATTTAATACTGATCATAATGATTTTATTGTTGGAAATTATATATTTAAAGTTACATAATATATTAAACATCTAGAAATCCGTAAATAAATCCAAATATAATGACATTTAAAAAGAATCAAAGAATGTAAAATAAACAAATACAATTAGAGAGATATAAATTAGTAAAGCAAGAGTGTACTTAGGAGGGTTTTTATACTTAGGAGACAAGAAGAGAAGTTGCAACTTTTAAATATTTTAATTAGATAAAATTAAGAAGCTTGTATTCTTCAACCAATAAAAGGATTTAAAAGTTGCAATCTCTTATCTTGTTCCTTAAGTATTAGAATCTTTTAATTATACAATAAGATAAAATGTGAATAGAATCCTTTGACTATGCAACAATATTAAATGTGATAAGATTAAATGCTGATAGTTTAAAATAATAATAATAAATAAATAAATAAATAAATAAATAAACAAAACATCCTCATTAACAAAAAAAATTAAAAACCTAATTCTATTTTATTTGCTACAAGTTTTGTTTAGTCTATATCTCTTTCAGTTTGGCGGACATATTTTTTGTTGTAGTAATGACCAAATTCTCATATATGTTTGATTAGTATACTGTTAGAATGATGCCCTTTTGATTTATTTTCATATTTATTTATTTATTTATTAAGTTGTGACTTTGATACATACAAGATTTGGTTGAAACAAGTGTTTTACAAAACGTTCTTTAAAAAATGGCTCACCATACAATTTTTCATGCACAATTTGCTATTTGCATTAAAATGAGGAAGATTTTTTTTTTTTAAATGATTTCACATATTTTACCACTTCAAAACATTGAAACAAGAATGTAAAATATGAACACACCTTAAGGAGCATAAAATTAATTGAATTTTTTTTATTGATGTTAATTCTTCTACTTATTTGAATGTAGGCAAGTACATATGAATAAGAATGAACTTAGAATTTGATTTCTTCAACAAGTATGATACTTTCGAAATTGCTACAAACACAAACTGTATTTATAACTGTGACTATTACCTCTGACGAACATTTTTCGTGAAGCAAAAAGTTACAGGTAATCAAAACCATTAAATCAACAGATAATCTACTCTCACCTGCATTAATAAAATAGAATGAAAAACTAAAACAAATATTTATAAGTCAGCGGTTACAATACATCATGTTTCCAGGACACGAGACAGAATATAGTGATCACAATACATCTGTTTGGTTTTCTTCTTCTAAAAACTTGTATGGGTTTTCAAAATTCAACATATTTTATATCTCTAATAAACAAGGAAACTAACAAACATTATTCTTAACACAGCATTCAGAAATGTAAGTAATAAGACGAGACGCCTTGTCCAATATGTACGCAGCTCATCATACAAGTTGTCGAGTTACTCCAGGATGGACCAACATGCCCCAGGGGCGTAATGAGCTCAAAAGTTGATCCTTTGAGAGTTGTTCAGAACATTTAACTATAATGAGTACATAAAAAATAATTTGCTTAGAACTACATTATATAACAGTACACGCTTTTTGTAGTCGTGTCATTAAATACATACACATGCCTTCGAACACAAACTGGAGCAAAAGTAGCTCAGTAAGAGAAATTGACTCACTGCTTAAAATTCTGAATCTGTAACTACTAAAGCGTAAAGATGTACCGGCATAAATGCATCCAAAAATTATAATATTGAAGGACGGGTGCTGGTTGAGGAACAATGGATAAAACAATGCTGAACAGGAAAAAAAAATGCTGCTTTGAACTTAAACAACACGTAGTGCAACAAACAATCCTGCTATAACTAGGCAGAACATGCGATTAAGTTGTAAGGAATGCAGGGCATATAGAGCAGTGGTTGAGCTAGTGGCAGTACCCAGCTCCCATAAATTACAGGACCCATCGTGAGCTACTTCAACTCCAGCACACTTTGCATCGGCAGCTCCACACCTGGTTATAGTTCCAAGAATCACAGTACATGTGAAGATGCAAAGACATTGAGTAGGACATCAAATTCAAAAGAAATGGAAATTTCCACTAACATAACCAAATTTGCAGATGTACTAAAGTACGTCTACTGGAACACACAATGCCCAGACAAACAACTGTGCCTGTGAAGGCTATCACAAAATGGAAAAGAAAGAAGCATACTGATACTTACCAGTATGTGACCTTATCCACCCCACAAACCCTGCAAAAAGAACCAAGATAGAGATACCCCACATTTCAATTACGGTTGCACATTCTTGGTGTTTCAAAAGCAGCGATAAAGATGATGCACAAACACACAGTCATGGATGAACTGCAACATAAAGGATAAATTGCCCAAAAGTAAAAAAACACCCTTGTTTCTCCTTTGAACTAAAAGGAGAGGTTGAAGAGGATGAATACTTACGGATCAGTTCTGACGCATTTCACAGGGCATGACTTGGTTGTTTGAAGAATGCAAGGCTCTGGATCAGAGTAAAGACAATAGAGTTAATCTGTGAACGTTTATGTATTGATCCCAACAAGTGACAATAAAAGGCTCTGCAAGAGCTGCCCTGGAATGATTAACACTGTCTTTCTCAGAGAAGGAATAAATTTTAAGCCTCTGTTGACCATAGTTGATAAAAAAACAACGAACAGAAGCTTTAACTGATTAAGACAAAAGCCCATAACCCACTATGCAGAATTATGAACTCCAAAACATAGAATCACCAATTTTTATGATCGAATTGGAGTGGATAGTGTACACAACAAATTACCTATGAGCACATTGTTAGCGCCATCAGCAGCAGCTTTAGAAACTACGCTTCGAATCAAGGATTCCTCTGGCCGTAACTGCATACACGCGACGGAACCTTGCACAAACATTGAGTAAATCCTAGAACGAAAATTGCTAGAAAGATTGCAGCGAGACAAGAAGACAGAAGTTCATGTACCAACATATTTCATAAGTCAACGTGTACGTAGCACTGTTCAAAGTTTTCGACAACCAATCGCCATACAGTTCCAACGGATCTCTTCATTTGAAACACCTCGCTGATTACGGAGATCACATCAACGGTCAGGCAGCGGAAAAAACATTTCGTTACCAAGTGACGAAAGCAAATCCACTGCCGCGTGCAATTTCCCGCATCAATCACATGAATACATCACCGATCTATTATCCAAAGTAATCTCTAGTCCTGATGACCCATCCAATTAACCCTTGAAAAACAAATGAAAACCTCAGAATGTTCTGATTCTAGCACCGAAACATCAAGATCAGTCCTGAACTCACACATCTCACCCCACTCGAATCAGACCCAACAAATTGGCGTCCAAATTAGATTGCCAGCCTCGTACCTCAGCACCAGAACGACACGGCGATGCACCGCGCGTGACGAGATTCACGCTCCCATCTCCTCCTCCTCCTCCTCCTCCGTGCTGACTAACTACAAAAGAGTTCTCCTCCGTCCTGGCCTGGATCACAACGCCACAATGAAACACCACCACAGATAGCAGCAACAACAGGGCTTCGAAACAACGCGGACCCCGCCCCAATGCCGCCATTGAAGTCAGTAAGCAAGGAAAGTGTTGTGTTGTGTGTATGGGAGTCAATTCTCGGCCTCACCGCAGCAAGCAAGCAAGCATCATTGTCGCGAATGAATGAATGAATGAATGAATGGGCACGAGCAGTGTGAGTGAGACTATCATGCTGCTTGCTCTGCGCAAAGTGTAAAGGCTGCATGCATTATCATATCACGATACCCACCCAAACACGCACAATTCCCATTTCTTGCTTAGGGCTTGAAGGCAAAAAAAAGAGGGAAAATCGGAGTGTGTCGGCCGAGAATCAGACGCGGAGCATCAAAAGTCGCGGAACTACTTTTTGGATGATCACTTTCGTGAACTCAGTGCACTGCACTGGAACTCACTATTAGTTGCTTCTGGTGAAAAGAAAAAGAAAAGCAATTGGGATCTTCTTTTTCTGAGTCCCCTGATTTTCATTGCCAGTGTGCTACACACAAATACTTTACTTCTTTTTGAAAGGGAGAAAGAAATGAATAAAAGGAAAAAGAAGTTCTAAATGTTGTTGATTGGTGATCTACTACTTTTTTGTTTTGTATTTGTTGTTCATTTTTTCTTAACTAAAAAAATTGTCAAGTTTAATCTACATGCTCAAAATTAAACCTACTGTTGTTGTGTTTACGTCAATTTTATATTCTACAAAGAAAAGAAAGTAAAAATAAACAATAAATAAATAAAATCAATATTTTACAATATTTTTAGATCTCGTGGCATGTTATTTGAAGCTTCATTTGCTTCAAGATGTTTTCTTTTGATTTTTTTTTTCCATGATTCTTTTCAATTTTATTTATTATCATCATTATTATCATTGTTTTTTTTAGGAAGTCATGTGGTTTTGGTATTAGAATAAGATAAATTATAACTCCTTGGAACTCAAATACTCCAGAAATCAAGCTTGGAATCCAAGCTAAGGTTGTAGCAAATATAGTACTTGAGATACACTTTAACACACAATAGAGAAGCATTATTTTGCTATTTGTTTTCAAGAATTAGTGTGGCCCATTCAACTACGGGGGGGTGCTTGGCGTCGAAATTCCTATTCGACGCATTCACACCGCAGAGACACCATATCTCCAAAGTGAGCCACGGTTTATTCACACGGGGGATGCGAGATTCTCCTCCCACGTCATCTGTGTGGTGCCAGCGTGGCAGATCGAGTTTTGTCGTGTTGGCAACGGAATATGCTCGGCACTCCATTCCCAAGGCACTAGGCTGATTTCAAAATCTCCAGCGAGCTTCGCATTGCTCAGTTGTCGTCGTCGTCGTCGTGAGGCGATGGGTAGCTAGCTCCACAATGTGAGAGAGCTCCGACATTTGTTCTCACGCCGCCCCTCGCCGTCGCCACCCAGTTCGCCTGCTTCACGTCGAGGTGCGTTCTCCTTATGCCTTCTGGGTTTCATTAATTGAGTTGGGTGTGGGTGAGTGGTTGATGAGTTTCCGAGATGAGAAGGAAGGAAGTTGGGTTTGATGTTTGGATTGGGAATGTGTGTGTGTGTGTGTGTCCTCACGCGCTAGTTGTGTTTGTTTGTCAGAGCTCTCTGACAGTTCTGAGAATTGCGAGTTGGATTTCTTTCATGTGGTAGGCTGAGTATTTCTAGTGTTATTTAGCTGGAGTGGTCTTGCATTGTGTTGATGTATTGAGTTACGGGGCTTCGGTTGCTTCGATGATAGATTCGTACCTGCGTCTAAAGATTCTGGAGTGAGGTTAAGTTTGATGGAGGGGGGTGGGGGTTACGCTAGACGTTCTGGTTTTCTCTCACTCGTCGTACATTGTGGCTTCTCGCACATTTGACGTGGCAGTGTTTGCAGCACCAAGTTGCGTGCATTGGAAATGCTGATCGCACCTGTATGTAGCTGTAGCAGCGTTACTCTCTGGAAACGAGTTGTTGTGCTCGTATCTTCTTTCAAATCCATGTGTCAAAGTTTCTCAAGTCTTACGCAATGTTGACAACCACCGCAGCCTCGACTTGCGCGTTGTTTGATCTGAATACCACGCTTCACACCTGAGTTCGTCTCATGTGCCCAGTTATTTATAGAGGCATGTATAAGCTCATTCGGGGTAGAGGGTTTATTGTCTTTTTGCTAAGAACTGATGTCCTCGTCAAGCTGTGGATAGAGAAAAGAAATGTTCATGTTGCTTCTGTTTCAGTATTCGTTCAATGTCAGTCCCATCAAGAAAAATGATGGGAATCTCATTGCAATCTGGTTTGTGGTTCACGGCTGAAAATTCTTCGCAATGTCCAATCATGAATGTAACTTGGGTTTGAGCTGAGGCAACGTCTCGATAGTAGTTTGAGATTACATTTTACCTTTCATCCTCTTACAGACTGTAAATAGTTTCCTTATGCTATCAAGCCTAGAGTAACCTCGGTCTATTCTTCCACTGTGTCATCTTGTGAATGTACACCGTCACGGTAATTTGAGAAGCTATAGTATCTCTAAGATTTGTAAAAATTGTTCAGAGTTTAAGTGGATTGCTCACGTAATGAATGCAGAAGCTCTGCTGCTCAAGCTCTGTGCTGGCATTGGTAGAGCTTAGTGCAGTTCTCTTTTTTGGATTCTGATCACAAGTTATGATTTCCGTTCACGTTATATTAAGACTCTAACCTGATTGCCAATGAAACTTACTCGTATCTGAAAGAACCTTTTTTCCCACCCTTTTTTAATATTTATTTTATTATTATTATTATTATTATTATTATTATTATTTTGTTTCGTTTTGTACATTAGCATTGAAAAATAACCAATGTCAGTATTTGTGAGCAAATCTAGTCCATAACGTGGATGCTGTAACTTTGGTTTCACTCTGCATGTTTTACTTCTCATTGCAACTCACTTTTGAACATAACGTTCCATGTCATGACTGGCTCATCGGTCGTTTCGCTAAATTGGTGTGCAGGAGAATTGATCAGTCTGGATTCCAGTCGATGACCACAAAAGGTTTTGACTTGGAGGCGATCAATCTATGTGGTTTTGATTCTAGTCTAGAATGTTCGGGACAAGTTGGAATTAATCTATGTGGTTTTGTCAGCCTTTTTTGGGGACCTGTTGATTTGTAACTACAATGGACATGGCCATTATCACAGACAACCTGGTGCTGTTTGGATCGATATGCTTGTTTACCGCCGTGTATTTCTATGGCTATTTTTTCTTATTCAGCAAGCTATGGAAGGGGCGATCCCGATACGAGGCAGCTAGCTGTGGAATGTCTTTGACCCATGGTACCGCTGTGGCTGCCTTGTGCTGTTATGAAATTTTTTCCAAAGAATGGGTTCTGGACGCTCCCAACACTCCTCTACAGAACAAAATCATGGAGTATTCCATGGCATATTTTATTGTTGATTTACTCAACCTTGCATTCACTGCCCCGGATGACTATCTCTTCATCATTCATCATATTGGAACTTTGTCCTACATGATATCGTGTCGGTACTTCATTCAGCATGGGGCCATATCTGTGATGTGCTGTATAGCAGGGGGAGAAATCACAAGCCCTGTGCAGAACATTTGGACTCTGTCTAAAATGGCGCAGGATTCATCTCAGAAAGCTAAGCAATTATTCTTAAGCATCTCTCCTTTTTTTACAGTGTATTTTACCATTGTGAGGGCAGGCTTTGGTCCGTACTTGACATGGGCTCTTGGGAGATTCTACTTGGGAGGCCACGCGGACCACATAATGCCAAGGTGGCTGGCATGTTGTTGGTTGTTCAAGCTCGTGTTTGCAATCCTCGCGAGCATGTTGTGGGTTACGCATCTGTGGGTGGCACTGTTTAAGTTCTACTCCTGGAGAATGCCCCAAGGATCTGTTCAGGAAAAAATTGACTGAAAAGTCTCTCTCTCTTGGCTACCCACTTCGAACATCTTTTGTTCTTCATGGATCTTGTACCATGTGATCTCATTGATTTTGTAGTTTGTACCAGGATGCGCAGGTCAGCTTTGCTTCTGATTTAGAGTGAAGCTTGGAGGCTCCCAGTGGAGTTGAGGCTAATTCCTGGAAACTTGGAATTGATGAAGGTGCTCTGCAGCACCCATTTGGATCGGTGTACATACGTTCTTGCCGAGTTGTCAATGTGGGTGATTGTTTGCTTCTGTCTGTCAAAAAATGAATGTCTGGAGGAAGTTCTGCTGGTCCAATTTAGGTTCCCATAGGTGCTGTGTAGCTGAGAAACTCTTCGTAGGCATTAAATTGATGGATTTTTGAAAAAAACATCCTTCGTGGTGTTGTCAAGATTGTACTGTTGAATCTTGATAGCTGGATTGTTTATTGGTGAACTGGGTTATTAATTTCCTACTTTTTGTGACTGGATTTCCATGATGATTAAGACTATTCTATTAGTACTTCTATGTTTCTTTATTCCATTGTATAGCGATGTTTGATATTTGTACTGTTGTCAAGCTTAGTTGCAAGATCCTGTACAATCTAGGAGTTATTGCTTTGACCATTGTGAATTTCAAGCTTTGCACATTCTTTCAGATGACTCTCAAGCTATCATCAATGCTTAAAATACCACCAACGTATTTGATTCACCCACTTCGGCACTGTATGTGCGTGAATATATATATATATATATATATTATATATATATATATATATTATATATATATATATATATATTATATATATATATATATATATTATATATATATATATTTTTTATATATATATATATGTGTGTGTGTGTAGAGTTTCAAATCTCTTTTCTTTTTGTTTTTATATTTTTCTGTTAAAAAGGATAGTTGTACCTCCAATCTAATTAGGTACCTTGGAGATGCCGGCCAATAAACTCGTATCAATTTAAGAAGATGAACTGTGAAGACCATGGTTGCTGATGTCAACCTTGAGCATTAAGACAATTTAGAGTGAATGAATTTTTCATGAAAACTTCTTTTATCGACCTTCAAATGCATTTTGATATTCTCAGAGTAACTAAACAGCTATATTTATATTTACGTACATATATATTTGTATATCTTTGGTGACAAGTTAGCGAAATAGTAATAAAAAAACGAAAAACTAAGGGTAAAGATGCACATTCGATTTTTTTCGATTAGTTTAAATAAAATAAACAATGATAAAAGTTTAGTCTGGATGTTAAAACATATTACTACATTCTGAATGCAGGTGGACCAGTTTTCAAATCAATCCTTTGTTTAACATTAACTGCACCATCAATGTCCAATTCTTTTGACATACATACACTTCAAGAAATCTATAAACATGACAAAAATGAAATTTGCATTCAAGTATAACATTGAAATATGTTTTGCTGTCTATTCCAAATCCTAGTTCTTCACAAACTCCTAACTTGACACCAAAATGAACGAGTTCTGTGTATTTTTTTTGATTGATTTATTTATTTATTTCAAATGGATGCTAAAAGTTTATTTCTACAATGAAGAAGGTCATGGTTGTGTGGTAGCTCACGCCATTTTATGTTTTTTAATCGTCGATCCGCAGTTTTCATGTGTTGTGGTGCAGAATTTGATAGAAATTTCTGAAGCCGTGTCGACGAAGACAAAAAGCAGGGTCCTGAGAGCAAAAACCAACCCCACCACCGCGCACGTTCTGCCCTCTTTCGGAGGCCAGTTCTGGCGCAGAATCTGCCACTCAATTCCCTCACGACCTTCCCCGATCTTTCGACCTACCCCAGCATTCAAGACAGTACTGACCTAACTAAAGGATCACGGAACGACACTAAAATCGGGCTGGCGTTGATACCCGGAAGGACGGGTATCGAATCTATATCTGGAGCAGTTGAACGAATAAAGGTTCCATCACATCATGACGGGTCGAGCCGGGCTGGGCGGAGCGTGGCACCCCGACCCAGCCCGCGCCAACGCTGGAGCTTTCCAGGAGAGTCGAAGAAGAGCCCTTCTCCGTGCTCGGGATGCCGAGTCGTCTCTGGCATTCAGTCAGTCAGTCTCGAGAGAGAGAGTTTCGCAAGCGAGAGAGGGTGCGGAGTTGCGGGACATTGTGCAAGTTTACGAGGGTCAAAGCATAGAGGAGGGTGAGGAATTGGCACCATTCAGCGGACGTATGGAGAAGCCGAGCACCAGTTTACAGTGTCGGTGTTGTATATGTATGCAGATTCGAGATGCACGAGTTAGCCCTAGTATTGCGAGTCCATCCCGCGGTGAAGCGTGTCGCGGGGTTGTTTAATCCCGAAGGTGTGGCGTAGGTATTATCGAGATGCTTGTCGCGGTTGGCGTGGATTTGCGGTTATGTGCGATCGTTGAGGAGTCGGAGAGCTTGTGGATGTGAAGCCTCGGTGCATTGTAGGGGGGAATGGATTGGTTGTGATGTAGGAAGGGGAATGTTGTGGCTGGAAGTAGCGGTTTCGGTGTCGATTTTGCGCACTGGTAGAGAATGTGCTGATATGGTGCTAAGCATTCTCTCCGTAATGGTTTCCGTGTGTACGACCCGTGCTTTGTCGGTAGCTTGTAAATGACTTCATTTTATTTTATTTTATGTTATTTATTATTAGATGCTTGAGGTAGTGTGCTTAAGGTTGTGGTGCGGAAGAAGGCAGATTCAGGCTTTGTGTTTTCTGTGGTTGAGTTACGAAATTAGGTGCTCAGGGTTTTATAGATTTTTTTTTGTAAGCCGTGGACGGTAAGTTGAATAGTGTAAATCAAAGCCATGGCTGCCCCAGATGGGGAGGCTCGGGTGCTGGCGACCGCGCAGCACATCGTGAAAGCTCTGGGAACCACAGACACTATGACGGATGACATGCTGCATATTTTATCCAAGTTTGATCATCGATTCTCCAGCATGAATGCGAAAGAGGACGTTACTCCGGAACCATCAAGCTCGCATGATTCGGACGTTGAAGATTATCCCCCTCGGACCAACAGATCAACCGCTCGGAATTCCACCGTCCGAAATTCCAGCCAAACAAGAGCTAACAACTTCGCGTTGGATGCAGCACAAAATGTGATATCGCAATGGACCAATGGTTATTCAGACAGAAGTGGATCTGTACAAGCTGGACAGAAGTGGATCTTTGAGGGTTCCGAAGAAGATTCGTTACAATTTCTGCAAGCAGTAGACGAGATCGTCCATCAATTAGATTTTATGAAAATTCATAATCGAGATCCTGGGACCCTGGAGCGAGCTCAAAACCTACATCATTTGGCTCTTCAAAAACTACTGGAAGAGTTTCGATACATGTTGGACAAGTACAGCGAAAAAGTGGACCCGGATTGGTTGTTGGATTTGCTATCCGCCGGGTACTTTAGAGCTCCTGCAAATGATGCAGTTGATCCGGAGTCGGGAAGCTCCGACGGTGAAGACGACGAAGATGAGGATGTTCCCGTGGCTTATCCAGTGGATAAAATTGAAACTTCAGTAGATTTGGTTCCCCCACAAGTTGCAGCTGATCTTGCTGACATTGCGAAACGCTTGATTGGGGGAGAGTATAAAAGGGAGTGCACGGATATGTATGTGAAGAAAAGGAAGGTCATATTAGAGGGAAGTTTATATGAGCTGGGAGTCGAAAGAGTGACAATTGACGAGGTGCAGAAAATGCAATGGGAAGTTCAGGAAGACAGAATCAAGAAATGGAACCAGGCCATGAATGTAGGGGTGAAGGTGCTGTTTGCCAGCGAAAAGCAGCTTTGTGATGAGGTGCGTCTTTATCCCTTCATTGAAACCATCCTATTGCTGTTTATGACGTAGGCTGCAGTCTAAACTTTATTTTATTTTTAACGATTTTTTTTTGTTGTATGTGTTTTGAGTTTCTTTCCGTTTTTAAAGTTTTGGACTTGATTGCAAATTGAATTACTTACACTTCGTGTCATTTTCTGAAATTGTCTCGACTGTGCAAGCCCAGTTATTTCCACTATCCCTGAGTGAGAACATTTTCAATGAAATCGGGAAAGGAGCTATGATGCAACTCCTGAGCTTCGGGGAGGCTATAGCTATTAGTCGGCGGTCTCCTGAGAAGCTTTTCAAAGTTCTTGATATGTATGAAGTATTACGAGACATCCTTCCCGAATTGGATGTCGTTTTCGCCGGAGCTTCTGGTGCAAGTGTAAGGTCAGAAGCCGAAGGAATTCTAATGCGTTTAGGAGAAGCGGCAAGAGGAACCTTTGGTGAATTTGAAAATGCCATTCAGAGAGATGCTTCGAAGACTCCAGTTTTGGGAGGAGCCGTGCACCCACTTAACCGGTATGTGATGAATTACATCAAATTATTGTGTGATTATACCGAAACTTTAAAGCTGCTTTTTGGGAAAAAAAAGGAGGTTCCAAAGTTGTTAGGGGATGATCCCGAGTTGCCTGGGTACGGAGACGATTACAGAGGGGGCAGAGAAGAGCTTTCACCCTTAGCTGTGCAGATCAACTGGTTGATGCACGTTCTCCAGAACAATTTAGAGACGAAATCAAAAATTCACAAGGATCCCGCGTTGAGCAGCTTATTTTTGATGAACAACGTCCATTACATGGTTCAGAAGGTGAAAGACTCTGAGGTTAGGGCGTTGATTGGAGATGACTGGGTCAAAAAGCACACCAGCATGTTGCGTCAGTATGCCACAAACTATCAGAGGGCTGCTTGGAGCAAGGTCTTATCATTTTTGAAAGATGAAGGAATCCAGAGCTCGGGCGGATCTAGTAATATTTCTCGAGCAATTCTGAAGGACAGATTCAAGAATTTCAATGCTGCTTTCGATGACGCCCACCGTATACAATCACAATGGGTTGTGTACGGCGATGAGTTGCGTGACGAATTGAGGATTTCCATCGCTGATAAGTTGCTCCCAGCTTATCGAGCTTTTGTTGGGCGTTATAGGAACTTCATAGAAAATGGACGGCATCCAGACAAGTACATCAAGTACCAAGTTGAAGATCTTGAGGTTTATATTGGTGATTTTTTTTCAGGAAATTCTCCAAGTATTAATTCTAGGAGAAAATCGTTTTCAAGTCAATGATTTCAAGTCGCTACCAACAAATAGGGATAATTCTTTTACAGGGTAGACATGGCTCAGTGTTCAGAGGCTTAAGACTCAAGTTTTTCTTCAATCTTCACAACTCGGAAAGTTCCATATTTATCAATACTTCCTACTTGTGAAAGTTACCAGACGTTGTAGTCCCTGTCGATAATATGCACATTCGCTAGACTATCCTGTTGCAGTTGCTCAGAATCTGAAAGCCGGCTTGAGCAATTCTGTGACACTCAGTGTAGGAGTTACTAGTTGTAGAGGTGACCGACTAGATCATTGTTTCGAGTTTTAGAAATCCTGTTACACTTGGAATAGAACTTCTGCTAATCCTTTACCATTATATCCTCCTTGCGTGTTTTTTATGCCCAGGTTAGAGTAGAAGTTTGGCTGGGTTTCTACATAGTGTGTATTTACTGTATTTTAGTGTGTTGGAAATTATTTTCTACCCATGGCAGAGATTACGCTGTCCGGTTATGTCATTTACCTGAAATAGCAGATGTAGTGAGTATGTAATCTATGTTTACGAGGCCTCTTTTCTCAGTTGCAGAGCCGGTGTGCCGCGCAAACTGCAACTACGCTTGTCATCGGTTTTGAAATTCGGATGGTTTGGAAAACCTAGTCACGTAGCTTGCTTTTTCATGCTGTTCTCTTTACTACCCAGCGTATTCTCAACCTCGCCATTGTGAACATTCAATCGGTTCCAGATTTCAATTTCCCCTGCCCCTGTGACTGCTGCCCAGAGCTCCTGTAACATTGCCAGCCCCAATCTGTGGTAAATTACTCCAGATATGGTACCGTTCTGAGAGCCCTGTCCCGGTTGTCATCCCAACCATAGATTTGGATACGCTTTTATTCAATTATTCGTTTATATCGTATCTGTTCCATGCAACCAGTTATTCCTAGATATCATCACGCGATAAGCGTTAAAATTCAGCTTTTCTATCCGTTGTGGAGATATTAATACCTGCTGGGGTTGTTATAATTTCTGCATCGTGGCACCTACCGGTTGATCCGGTTGTCAAGTCCTCTGATCTGCTGCAGCGTCGTCAATTACATCTCCACGAAGCCTCTCAAATGCATGAAGCTGAGCTGGGTGGAAGGATTCCATCCATCTCCCAAACTGGGAAAAGCCATGGCTTCGGTGATTCTCACGTGGCGCTGCAAGTGATCCGCCGTCGCTAGTTGTCAGGCATAATCCCCCTCTATTATAGGCTACATCGCACTCAGATTCCACATCGGAATAGTTGGTGTTGTAAAGGATGCTCACTGGTGATGAATCCACGAGCCTCGCGAATTACTAATCCCTGTGTTGATGCTGCGTATGACCATGTTTGTAAGCAGAGCAATCGGGGTTGCCAAGCGGAGGCTCAAAATGGGAGGCTGCAGACAAAAGCGGCACTGTGGCAGCGCCTACCCTAAAACGGCAGCTTCACAATAGCTAAGGATGTTACAATTCTAGAGGGGAAGCACTGGTGGAAACGATCTACAAGTACAAATACTTTTCCTGGTGATTTAGGCTACTTGTTTATTCTAACGATGGAAAGTCAGTCAAAACCCAGTTGAAATATGATAATGAAAGTTTGAAGCTAACTTACAATTCTGCTAAGGAAGGAATGACAACTCGGCTAAATTATAAACCAACATGCACTGCAAATAAACCATATGTCATGTGTCCAACATCTGCATACAACGGTGAAGTTATGCTACCAACACAGCACCTGACTGACTGTCAAATGTAGGTACTCTACCATTGATGAATTCTCAACAATTCAACACCGAGGGGTCTATTCTCTTCAACAATAACTAGAGTTTGATACACATTCTAGAGAAATTATGTCCAAATGGAAGACCCCAATCTTTGCAAAGTTCGCACCATTCCAGGTGGATCCAGCAGACGAGTCGATCACATGGAAGAGTTCAATTGGTTGCGCAAGTTGCCTAGGTCAAGAGTTTCGAGTCTGTCGTAATTGACTCTGTCTTCTTTCAATCCTCATGTATAGTCTATCAATCGCTAACAGTTGTATACAAGTCTTGTAATCATACAGTACAGTTCCCAGTCTTCACTCTTCGTTCCAATTTCCATGGTTCGATGGTTTGAGCGGAATGAAGGGAAGTAGAAGCCGAAAGCTTGGGTACTGTAGCCCTCTTGCTGCACTCTCCACAACGAAGACTTTTCATCATTCTTATCGCGCCCTGGCATCGAATGATCTCCCGCCCCTCCTAGCCATCGCGGACCGGTTTCGAATCGTTTCATTCCAATCTTTATCAGTTTTTCAGCTCTCAACTTCTGCGGCTACTGAGTTCACGCAGCTCACTGTAGAAAGAAAGCGACTTATCTAAAGGCTGAATTAATCACGTGCAGTAAGAACAGAATTGGGGAGTTTGCGAGTTTAGTTTGCAAGTTGGGTGAGTGGTCATTGTGCTGTGGAAATTTGTTCTCTGAGGACGAGTATCTGTTAGTATTAGTGTGTTGGGAGGAGGTGGAGGAGGAGGAGGAGAAGCTAAGATGTCGCTGTGGAATCTCAAGCTTGAGGTGGAGTTTTGGGGTTCGGAATCTAATAGGTCGGAGTATGGGTATTCTGCAAAGTTTTCCTGGAGGTTTGCGAAGAGAGAAAGTGATGTTGAGACTTAGTTGTCAAGTTATGTGGGTATTCGGGCTGCCCAATTGGAGATTTTATCTTAAAAAGTATGCTTGTGGAAGACAGAAGACCTGACTGTGGTGGTGTGCGAAGCTGAGCGAGTATTTGTGACCTAGAGTCCTAATGCGTAAAGAAGGAGAAGTGGAGGGGCAGGCAGAAGACGGGATTATTTTAGGTGTGCGTCGGTGTCTGAGTTTTTGGGGGTTTGAGTTTGCGGTGGAGGATTTTGGGTCCTGCACTGCGAGGATGCCATAAAGGAGGTGAATCCAAAGATGGAAATCGTGAAGAAGAAGAAGAAGAAGAAGGCGAGGAAATGGTCGTCCTCGACAAGAGAGCCTGGGTTCCGCTAGCAGCGAAGCTAATAATCTAAGCCCTTGGAACGTCGAACGTCATGATATTCGTCCTGAGAAAGTTCGATCGTAGGTTGCGTCAAGTCCCTCCAGCCGTGTGCCAAGAGGATACACAATTTGGCCCTGGATTTGGCGAGGAAAATCATCATTCACTTGGACTTTTTCTAGTCGGAGAGGCAATGTCACTTTTATAATTTCGAGAGCAAGATTGATGATGCCCAGACCTACATCGATGCTGTTGACGAGGTGTTCACCAAAAATCGAGTCTATGAGACTCACAACCGCGACCCTAAGCTCCTGGAAGAAGCGCAACATTTCTTACAATTAGTCATGAAAACATTGGAGCAAGTGCTCAAACAAGTTGTTGGATCGCTTCACAAAGTTTGTTGACCTTAAAGTCCTCCTGGATGCTTTCTCTGTTGGATCGTTCCGAGATCCTAACTGCGTCGATGACGGCCAAGGATTCCACGGCCAGTAGGATTCCACCAGAGTGCGTGCATGTGTACATTAAATCCAAGAAAGTGGTGCTTAAGAACAGTTTGTTAGTCGTGGAAGGCAACCATAGACGAGGTGCAGAAGCTGCAATGGGAGAACCTCGAAGGTGAGATCAATAAACAGAACTAGGCTACAAAAGTAAGCGTGACGGTGATGTTTGCCACTGAGAAGCAGCGATGCGATCAGGTAAACTTATTGAATGGACTCCAACCATGTCTCCAATATCTTGCAATGCTTGTCAGTAAGTGCGCTCAGTTGTGTGTTATGTCTGTTGGGCAACGTTAAGGAAGTCAACCAACAAGGTTTACGGCTAAATTCTCTAGCAAGAATTGCATTGTCTGTTTTGATTAATCACGTACACGTGAAGGATTGGATCCGTCGTGCCTGGATAGAGACAACAACCCTTCATTCTCATGCATAGTGGAATTAGCATTTAGATTCATGTCTCCAAGCTGAAAATCCTAGTGTCGGTAGATCGAACTCATTTTTTTACATGCAGTAGGCAATTTGTTGCAATGCTGTAGCATAGTGTCTAAGCAAGGAAGGCGACAGTTCAGCGAGTGAATGCACCGTGACAAGCCTGCTGAAGTGATGCAATGAAGTGGGGCAACTTCACAAGGTGCAGAGATAAACATGGAACTCCATAAGTCGTCTTAAGCTTCATAGCCACAGGCGAATAAAGAGTCCCACATCTGAACTGTTTGCATCTAATAGTATGTCCGGAAAGTGAATTAACCCAGTAATTGATTTGCACTATGCATTCTAGAATAGATCATATTAACAGCTTTCACCCTCCAGTGGCGGTTTTTTAACATATAATGTAACCCACATGACAGATATTCCTCACCTTGATGTTGTAGTAATTGATTCCATCACTTCTGCATGATGTTCAAGGGACGTACTCTAGGTTTGAGGTGAATGTAACCCGCTTTCACGAATTTCTTTCTTATGAACAACACTGATCATGTGGTTCAGAAAGTGAAATCCTCTAAAGCCAGGGCATTGCTTGGGGATATATGGGAGTTCGGCGAGCTATCACAAGCTCCAAGGATTTTAACACAAGTTTGACAAGCTTCACCTCACGCAGTTGTAGTAGGTGAGATTGAAATCTGGGTTTGGGTGATGAGCTCTGGATTTTCATAGCTGACAAAATTTGAGATGGAGATTTGTTTTGTTTTGTTTTTGTTTTTGGTTTGTTTTGTTTTGTTTGCAAGTCTGCAGAACTACAGGAGCTACTTTCCATATGGGAGTTTCAAAGAGGGTCCAGATCAGAGGAAAGTTTTAAAAGAACATGGGAGAAATGTTGCAACACATGGAAGTTATTTATCCATATAGACTGGTTTCACTCATGCAATTTGAGCATAAAAAGCAACAATGTTGGAGCATCGAAGTTTGGGAAACAGTTGGAGTGTGGTATATGAAGTAGATTTATGTTCTTCATAATTCATTGCGTTGCAGTTTATTTTTTTAGGATTGGTATCAAATTGGAGTGAAAGGAAATTGAAGAAAAGCAGTTTTTCATTACGGGAACTTCAAATCTTAATTTGAAAAACTTCTTCTTGATTATGTTTGATGCCTAATACATTGTATATAATTTTGGTTAAATAAGATAATCTTGTTGTAAGTCTAATGTTATTAAATCTAATTATACTATTAGTAATAGATTTTAACAATATTATAATAAAAGAAGATATTTGGAAGGTGTTGAAGAATAATGAGTTTGTCAAAGTAACCAACAAAAATAAGATTAGTAATACATATTTAATTTTTAATTAAATGAATAAATTATAATAAAATTTTAATAAATTTAATATTCATAAATTAGTAATATTCATGAAAATAGGCATTTAACAAGAGATTTATTTGTTTCATTAATACATATTTAAAAGCTGCATTTCTAAAACATCAACAATATAATATACCTTAGTTACTTTTTGCTCTAATAAAGAAATGGTAGTTTATAGTAAGAAGTTTTATTTTAGACCTTTCAATTTACAATGACAATCTCAACTTTGGAAATTATGAACTATTTATAAAAATATCTAATCATATTTTATGCAATAAAGATTTTTATTGGTGTAAAAAAAATTATGTTTTTTATTTTCTAATATTTCCATAATTATGGTTGTTTTAACACATGTATTATTAAATAAAAATAATTTAATTTATATCTAACAATGGATATCAAAATTAACTGTATTATAATAAAAATATCTTAGAATAGATAATTAAAACAACTATATTGATGCAATTTTAAAATTGTATATTTGTTGTAATATGACCTATTAACAAGATAATTGAACTAATTCCTTGTTGTTGGTAGAATGCTCTTATAATAATTAAATATTTTATTTTTTTATATTTATTTATTTATTTTACATATATATTTTTAGTTTCAACCACTATCTTCAATTCTATCTTTCAAAATTTCTCAAAATCCTAAGTATAAGAACTTCAATTAATCCTTGTAATATTATTAAACAAATCCTTTATATTAACAAAAAAATATTTATATATATATATACACATACTCACACACAAAAGATATTATTAAAAATCTTAAGTATAATTTAAAGGAAGACATTAGGTATTAATATAATATGTAAAACAAATATACCATTTAAAAAATTAAATCATTAAAGATTATAAATTCTATTTACAATTATCTACCAAATCACTTTGTTTAATTTTTTTACCAACTAGATGCATTTTAAGGAAAATAAAATTAATATCTTTGAATATAAATTAAAATATAATTATAAGTCACATATTTTAAATAGTAACATTCTACCTCAATCTCTACATAAATTTTTAAATAAAATTCATATACAAATTTAAAAAATTCTTTGATTTAAAACTTAAATATTGTTATTCAAAATAATTAATACACTAAAAAGGTTAAGGTATTAGAAAAAGACATCAAATTTATTATTTAATCAAATTAACGTGTCACTAAAATTTATAGGTTTTCTTAGTTATATCTTTATATACTAAAATTCACACACACATATATATATATATATATATATATATATATATATATATAAATTTTAAAGATTATATTACATATATAATATTAATAAAATAATTTAAAAATTTTACCTATAATTATATATAAATAAAAATGCTATAAAAGTTTGTGAAAAATATTAAATATTTAGAATATATAAAAATAGATGATTAAAGAACTTTATAGAAAAATTTTCTACAAGAAAAAGTAGTGTCTTAAACATGTAAAAAGTTGCAACTTTAATCACTGCTTAAAATAGTTTAGAAACTTTTAAAATTTTCTAAATATTTGTACCAATTTTTATAGTTATTTTAAAGTCTCTAAATATTTTTATAATCTTTGGTAAGATTCAAAAGCCCTCTAAAATGTTTCAAAGATTACCAAGAACCTTCTATGATCTTTCAAAAGCTTTTATGACCTTCTGTAGCATTCCAAAATCATTTTTAGTCGTCTTAAAGTTTTCATAGAAGTTTTTTACACTTTCAAAATACTTAAGAATCCTTAAAAAAACTCTAAAAAATTTTGGTAGTATCCAATTTTTATAGTATAAATTACAAGATAAAAAAATAAAAAAACTTTAATCTCACGAATTTAAGTTTTGAAACAAGTAGTCTTATTTTTAGTCCTATATTTAAATTTATTTCAAATCTTAAATATATATATATATATATATATATATATATAATTCTTTTATTTCTATAAAATTATTTTTATTTTTATCATCCTAAATTCAATAATAATTTATTTTAAATTTAAACTATAGATTTTAAAGACATTATAGTTAATAAGATATAAAATTAATTACAATATTCTTTTAACACTTTAAGCTAGTCCATAATGATTTATAATATTAAAAATTTACGATTTATTAATATAATTTAAAAATAAAAATAGTTTTTTTAAAAGATATTTATTAATCTAAAGCTAAAAATTTAATTTTAGAAAAAAAATATATTTAATATATAAAATACTTGTTATTAATTTTATACTATAATAATAATTATTATTTTCTTATAATAATTTATAAATTTTAATTATCTTTAAAATATGATTAAAAATATTTTTTTATTTTAATCTATAATATAGAAACTTTAATCCTAAAGAACATAATTTTTCTAAAGATTTATATAACCTTACCATAAATGAATTCCATCATCTTTATATTCTATAACTTTTTATAATCACCTTTAATCATCTATTTGTTTGTATTTTGGATTTTTTTTTTTGTAGATATAATCTATATATTATTATTTTTATTATTATGTATTATCAGTGTTTTAAAATTTTTAGGAGTATATATAAGAAAATAATTCTTGCTATAGCAACTATTTTTTGTACATGTACTTTTAGCAAGAATTGCTCTAATACTTTTATACACAAATACTAGATTTGTTAATTAGCAACACTATTTTTTGTTCCAATTTAATTGAATTAGACCTTGACTAGATAGAAAGTCAAGATAGAAAAATTTCTTTTGTGTTCAAAGTTATACATCATCATTACCATTTCCCAATCCAACAACTCATGTTTCATTTCTACTTCAATTTAACAAAACAATGATATTGATATCTAATAAAATATTGTTTTATATTTCATCCTCCAATTCATCATTAAAATACTCTTAAATTAATCTTCTCTAACACTTCAATTACATATTATGATATACCCAATCACACTTGTGCAATGAATTTTTAGTACATAAAAATTCCACCAAATCACCATGTTCCATCTTTTCCACCCTTGCGTTACTTTGTCTAGTGACTTAGCTCACTCTCTAGGAGGACATTTCTTCAGAGAATGCCTCTGAGTCAAAATCCCTTCACAATCTATACTTACAGTCCAAAATTATTCAAATGTGCTTTATTATGAGGACCCAGATTTGCTAAACAGAAGGCAGCAAAATTCATTGCTTGTCTCTGAAAGTGAATAAGAACTTGTGGGAGTTGATACAAATATGTTAGTTCAGAGTGGGAGAGCTCGCGAGGGTTTTCATTTGTTGGTTTGATCGTTGTAAGTTTGCCTAATTTATTAACAGTCATGAAATGGAAGCATTTGTGTGGATCGGAGGGATGAGATCGGATCGTGAGAGATTCACGATGACCTAAGACCTGCAGGGGTTCTCGCTTTGGAGAAAAATTCCTGCTTCAATGCTGCTCATGTCGGTGAGAATGGCCAAGTCAGAAAGCGGCACTTTTGCTTCTGAGCAATGCTGCACTATTTGCTAGGAACCCAGCTTCTCATCCCCGCGTCACCAGGCTGAACTCTTCTTAAGAAAATTAGAAACAGAGCATCTGGAGATCGAGAAAGAATTGTTCAAAATGGCAGATGGTCGCTCATGCTCAGATGATGAACACGAGGAACGTGAAAACGCTTTTCCAGGTTCCAATCGTGACTAAGACCATTCGGATCTGCAAAGCCAGTTGAGAGAATGCTCGGAGGGTCTAGAAAGTGACAGAGCTTACTCGCACTATTTCACCCACGCTCCTCATCATGACTACCACTATTATATTCCGAGTCAGATCCAGAAATTGAAAACAACTTTGTAACTTATTCAAGGAAATTCTAAAAACAAAGAAAAACTGAAGCAGCGGTGGTGATCTTTATAAAAGAATGACATCGAAACTGAGTTTCACTCCGTACCCTGCAGTGACTTGGTCTCCAGAGTCCGTATATTCTGTTGAGTACTATGTCCATGCCATTAGTAGCTAGGTAAGAGATTACCTCCTACCATTCTACCATCAATGGCAAGGTGGCAGGAATTAGCACCTGTCCATTTCTTACCTAGTATTGCGCATATACAGTAAAATATGAACCCTTCATCTAAATAACATAATACGGCAAAAAGCCACTTTCCCAGATGCTACGAAATGTTACGAAAATTTCTACCTAAAAAAGGTTCTCTAAAGCAACTATGCACCATTTCAGGCACTACATATTGCACTAAGCTAAACAAAATTGCGCGAGAAACAACCAATTTGTTTCCCGTCCTCAGGCAGTTTTGATGAACTTCACCCTTCAAGCTTTGGCGAATCAGCTTCTGGATTAAATTTAACAACTTGAATATATGCTATGTTACTTCGTGAGACAGTAGCCTCCCTACTCCCTCTTCTGAGTCTGTAGTGTCTTGCTCTGCCGCATTGCCCCTCTTACTAGAAGCTATCAGATCATCACCATCCGAATCAGTGTAATCAGATTCCTCACCGGAAAAGCTGAACCATCTGCCCTCCATGCCTTCCTCATGTCCCAAACTTTCCTCCTGTTCTCCATCTTCATTGTCGTCCTCATCATAATCCTCTTCAGTCCAATTATCAATGCCAAAGTCATCCTCATCGTCATCATCCTCAACATCATCTTTCTTAATCTCTAATTCGCTTACACTACTCGTAGCACTTCGACCGTCTGATGTCAAAGTGTCTTCATCTTCTTCTTCGTCTTCTTGCCTGGAAGCTGCCAAGTCCGGCCGTCCTTCACCAGGAGGCCACCCACGATAAAATATAAGTTTGCTTGGTTCTGTATCGAGTAAAACAGCCCCAGTAGATTCCTGAAAGAACCAGCAATAGAGGGCTTGTAATCAGTATTTCCGCCTGTTAATTAACGTATCCAATATAGAAAATACATAACATGATTTAGCAATTCTACATTTAATAGATTTTCTAAAATATTTTTAAGAGTATATTGTAGTGAGCATCACAGATGTGAGTCATTCAAGGGTGGTGATTGCTTCTATTTTTATTTAGCTTCACACGGCCTGCTATACCCAGAAGTAAAGGAACACTGCAAGAATCAAGTCACACCCGGGAAGTAAGAATACCTCAATTTGTTCCACAACTGAAGCCACCGAGGTACCCTTTGGTCTTCCCTTCACACCAATTTTTACAAAAGGATTCTTTTCAAGAAACGCACAAATAGACTTGGCTAAGTCTTCATACACAGTCTCCTTTCCTGGATTTCAAACCACCATTTAAATCAGCCTCCTTACAATACGATAAAGTAAATAAACAGGAGCAAAAAAAGATATTTCAGGGCAGCCGAGAAAGAATACTATGATACTCACCAATGTTGAAATTAGCAGCTTTCCCCATCATTAGTGGAATTTGTTGCCGCAAAAAATGCCTTTGTTTACGTGTAAGAGGTTCAGCCCGGAAATAGGAGCCACTCTTTTCCTTCACTCGTGAAAATTCGCCGTCATACTCAAATCCGTCAAATGCAAAGTCTGCGTCGTCAAGGTCTTCAAGTTTGCTTCGTGAGCCGTTGTCACTTTCCGAATCATCTTCCTCCTCCATTTTGCTCTGTTCAAGACAATAGTGCAACCATTAATGAAGTAAATACTTGCATAATCATGGCTTCGTTCACAAATAAAACTCACGTTGTAGCGATAGCATTAGCTAGTAGACCAGTTGAAAATTCAACATCGTGATCACAAGCTGCTGATAATGCTAGGCGTGCTTGAGGACGTACACAACAGCACCTTAGTCGCTTTGAAAAAAAACTTTCATGATAAAACATTGGTTGCTTAAAACTCCTAAAAGATGCAGTTTTTGGTTTGATTGTTTCTTAGTATATTATCAAGCATTCTGAAACCCACCAAGCCTGCCTGCATTGTCTCAATCTCCTTCTTTAGTACCCGGATATGCTTCTCCAAGGACTGCCACAGGTACACAGAAAGAAATCATTTGATACTGCAACAGGGCATTCATATATAAACATGTAGACGTAAATTGGCCATATCCTACATGCAAAAATCATAACTAATGCTCCAAGTCGTACTAGCAGACTCCAGATAAACGTGGTAGCTTGAATTATACATAGGCATCATTCTAGTAATGCTCGTTGGCTAATCTTATCACTAGCAACACAGAAGATTCAAGACCGTTCTTTTCGACTAGCACAGTCCACAGTCAGATCAAAGACATGGTAGGTTGTAATTTAAAGGCTGAAAATCATACCTCCATCCGCTGCATCTCGAGAGATCGTTTCAAAGCTTGTCTTTTTGTGAGAAGATGCCTCGGTCTAAGTTCAGATGGACGCTGGTAATTCTTGCCTCGGTACATCACAATGGCTTGTCCCTTAGAAGTAGTGATAATATCAACCAAAATTCCTCCACTCTCATTCTCAAGTATTTTCGCTATTCGTTCAGCCTCAGGCAGTGATGTCTTCACAAGAATTTTTACAAGTTCCCTATATTTCCAGTGAAGGTGCATATTCTCAACAGTGCCGCTGAATACTCCCCTCCTACCTGTGAAACGCCAAAGAGAAGTTGCACATCAAATTCTTGCTACAGATTGTGAAAACCTAGGCACAGCACTGCAACGAAATGGACAAATATTTATTAAGTTCGTTATCTGAAAGTTTTAGATGTTACTAGTAAGATGTGGAGAGAGAACAATCTAAAGGCTAGCATGCAAGTTTGATAAACAAAGAACAAAGTCTCACCCAATAGAAGAAAGGCCTTCATTTTCAACCCAAGCTTTCTGTACATGTATCTCTCTCCATCTGAAAGATGCTCCTTATCCAGGGTAACATTAGCAGGAGTCGTTTTTGCTTCAACCTTGTTTAGCTCTAACTGTGCTCTTTCCATCTTTTTAAGTGCCTGGGACAAACACAAGTAGAGAAATGTCTTAAATCGGGGTAGCACAAAAAAAAATACAATCAAAATTGGGCCTTCTTTTCGGTTAAAAGGACTTCTCAAAACGGACACACCCTTGTTGGGGTAAAGTTGTTACGTGTCCAGCCCACTACGATTCAAAGAAGCGGAACCTTATGTGGTCACCTATTCTAGATGATTGGCAGAAAAACAAACACCACAGCTCTAAAATACTCCATGTGTACATGGAAAAAAGAGCGTTTCATCTACAGCATAAACTTGAAGTAACTAAACGTAGTCCAGTAAACACCATTGCAGATTCAACAGCTAATCTGAAAGAAGAAATTGCCCTGCTTGGTACACATAAGATGCTGCAAACGTCTTTTTAACTCATACAACAGATAATGGACTCCAACTATACAGTGTACTTACCAAGTTCAACTTTGACCGTATCCTGTCAGTGGCCTGAGCTCTTTTCCTCTTCCGTGCTGCTATTCTTTCTTTGCGAGCTTCATCACTATCCAGCCAGGCTTCCCACTTAGCTCTTGTTTCCAGGGCCTCTTCCAATGTCCCCACTTTGCTGTCAACAGTAAAAGAAAACGAACATCGTCAGGAGCAACTAAAGGAAGTCATCTGAGCAGTACCAATTCTCAGACACAGAAATAAAACTATGAACTAAACGCCCTGGTACCTGGTTTCTTCGACGACTTGCACTGGTCTACTCCGGCCCCCCATACGAAACCTTTCTTCCTCCTCCTGCAATGCTTTAGCCATTTGATCCCTCTCTTCAAGTGCCGCTTGAACTGCTGGGGGTAAAAAGTCTTTGCCACGATGAAACACGATGAACTCCTTATCTCTAGATAATAAGGTTCCTCCAGTCAGCCTCTGCAAATCATTAAATAAATAAAATCGTCATATCTGTGATCTCCTGATGTATGAGACAATGGTGAGATGACCAGAAAAGATGGAATTTGCATACAAATTTTACCTTCAGCTCTTCAGCCATTCGCTCGTTGCTTGTATTTTGGACCCCCCTCTTCACACCTATCTTCACAATTTCGCTCCTCTCCCACAATTTCACAATAGCTGCAGCAACTCCATCAAGTCCTCTATTTTTACCTGTATACAACACCCAAATGAGTGAGACTGCTAGAAACGGGATTTTACTGTAAGCAGCTCTGAAGACTAAAAATACAACTTAAAGATCAAGTCAACTTTCAGTGGTACTGCTGCAGTCTAGCCTACCAGCAATTGACATCTTAACGATATTAACGGACTTTATGAATACACTTGCAAGTAAGCAAGCAGAAATCAGCAGAGAACAACACAACTTCGCAACTACAGGACCAATCCTCACACACAAGACAGTATCAATTTAGTTACTCACCGAGTACAATATGAGGAGGAATAGGTCGTGCCAGATGACGTAGTTCTGTCAATTCAAAATTGTTAAGTTTGGGTTTTACTCCATAGGGCAGTAGCCTGAAGGGACGCTTGAATTCAAAATCTGAACTTAGCAAAAGATCCCCATCCACTGGCACTGGTCTCCTCCCAGTCCAGTCGGCATACCGTGGCCCTAGTCCATCAAGAATTTCTTCCACCATCCTCAGATCATTCTCCTGCTTCTTCAAATATGCTTCCCTCTCTACAGACACTAAACAAACACATCAACACTCATTTCAACTGAAGGCCACAGTATGCGAAATTGTCCTTCTATGATGCAGTAACTCTTTACCGAAACAACTCTCTGTCGACCATTTTTTTCATCCGTAAAAAGATCACAAATAGTGTTTTCTAATTTAGATAAGGAATTAAGAAATCAAACTTCCATGAATTCAAAAATACGTGTTGCATCAGCTGACCTGAATCCAGTGGTGCTTCATCCACTGACTGCTCTTCTGTGCTATGAAGTGTCACAACTTTGTTTGACGGCTTCTCTTTCTCTTCATTACCAGTAGACGTGGAGTCTATTTGTTCTTCCCTTTCTTCATCCTCGTCCAGATTAAGAGATAATAATTTCCTCCTTTCCCTTTCCTCTCTTTCCTCTCTCTCCCGCACAGATGGGTGGACATAGTCCTTCCCACGATAAACTACTGCGGCACTGCCTGAACGCCATATGACCAACCCGCCAGTCAATCGCTGCAGCCACAGCAATAAGAACAACAATTTCAAACAAGCTTTTCATTGTAATGTAAATCGCCAACTTAGCACCTCTAAAGAAATACTTTCATTCGGCTTGCTCACTTGAACGACCGAATTGCGACTATTGTTTTACTTGCCATTGATTAATATTATAAAACCGACTCAAACTGACCTCGTCCAAACTTTGATCAAAGCCTTCTACCTAAACACCGTTATTAAGAAGGTCGGAGAGCTTGAGCGGGGAATCAAAGCGAATGCTACAACTGAAACCCAAGAAGCTGAAAGAATTGAACTGCTACTTTCTCAGAGAAGCAAAAACTCGTATTGACTGCATCACACTCTGAAACGCATACCTACTCAATAAGACAGGAAAAATGTGATCAATCAACTGAAGACGTTCAATACATATTATTCTGATATTTTCCTTTATATGATTAAGCGGAAGGAGATAGTGAATGATGAATCATTACCTCAAGATCCTCGTGTGCTTTCTTCATATTCATTGATAGGGGAGCATCACATTTCACTTTAGCGATCTCACAAGTGCGCCACCTTTCATGGATTGCCTCCACAATTCCGGGAGTCACTCCTAATCGACCAATCTTCAGCCGTCCCTGCAACTGCAGCCCAAGTGTACGCAACCTTTTCAACTCAAAATCTGGTATTGTGAGCTCGGCCATGGAGGGAGATCTGACTCTCTGTTTCTTGGCAACCTGTCCTTCTTCTTCATTGACTTCTTCATGTGTATTCTTGTCCCAAGGAAATTTTGCATCTAGCGTAAGCTGCCCAAGATCATCAGAAGCCTGCTTTGGTACTGGATGATCGGAGTTGCTCCATCTTCCATTTAACCCAGACTGTGCAGCCTGACCAGGTCTGTGAGCAAAAGGAAAATTGTTTAACCTACGCTTTCATGATGAGATTAATCACTGTGTTGTACCTAGACATGAGAATTTCCACAAGGACAAATAGCTGCTACTAAATCACAAAAACATCCAATAAAGAGCAAAAGCGCATAGCCTCATCCTGGTCATCAAATAGAATCCTACATGAACTAACGTAACCGAATAAGGTCCTCTGCGTTGACCATTAATTTTTCTTTTTTCTTGAGGGTACTCGCAGCACAAACAAACAGCTAGATCCTCCAAATGTTTTCTTCCAGTAAAACCCATATCACTTTAGCCAGCTCATGGTTGGAACCCCGTCAGTGCAGTCCATGAAATAAGAGACTCAGCGACCACATCAACCACCACCCAGCGTAGGGACAGTCGATAGTACGCGAGTTCAAACACGTACCTTGGCAGAAAGACCGAAGTCGCAGGGACAGGCAAACTTTTGTTGGAGCCCGCCGAAATTGCAGACTGATCGTTACCAATTGCACGCAATTTTTCCACGATTCGAGCCATAGCAGATTTTCGACCTCCGCCCGAGTAGGTTTCTGCGCTCGATCTGGAATCTTCAAAGTCGAACTCTTCCTTTTCGTCAACATCTCTTTCATTCAAACTCCTGTTCATTGACGGTGACAAACTCCTGTCTCGAAATTTTCCTTGAGCTGCTCCGGACTCCCATGGTGCCCTATGCATGTTCCGCCCCGAATCATGTTTAGGATACCTAGAAGTGGTTGGCTTCGAAGATTCATTTTTTTTCATTGGGTAATTACCCCCTGCTCTACCTGTTTCGTCTCCTCGCCTATTGGAGGCAAAAGAGCCTGGTTTCTGGTACCTAGAGTTTGAGTGTCGCATCTGCGCATCCCCTCTCCCAAAAACATTTTTATTGAAATCCGGTGAAAACTCAGCATCAGACTGCCTATCTAGGGCACTATTCCCATATCTGCGTTTTTGAGAGTAATTGGTCCCGTCATTTGAAGGCTCGTCTTCTATTGCTTTTCTCCAAGGAAATTCTGGTTCGGAACTCTTCCCCCGGACAGGATAGGTGAATTTGTCTTTGGGTTTAGGAGTTGGGGTTGATTTCTTCCATTTGTCGCGTAGAGAAGGAACTTCACCTTCCTCAATATTCTTCAGTGACACAATGCAAGTCTGTCCCCGTCGCCAGTTGGGAGACTGAGAATGCAAAGAGGGGAACCTATTGTGGTGAATGAAAAACAGAAGAGAAGTTTTGGAAGTTCTACGAACAAAAGATGTGGACGACAGGTTGCGTGGGCCTCGAACATCCAGCGCACGAATAGGCCCTAAAAACCGAACGGGAGCCACGCTCGCCATGATAGAAACATCCATAAAAAAGCTTCAAATAAACTCGCTCGTCACTTCGCCCTCGTTATTTCTCAAGGACCTGAACCGCAACATTCACGTGCATTCCGCACCACCTAACAAATAAGTGAATAAATAAATAAAGATTCCATTGCTTACAAACGCCAACCACAATTTCATTTGCCCTCCAACTTCCTAGAAACTAGAACAACACACCTACCACTGCTCATCTCTCTACATCCCAATTCCCGCCACATAATTTCCAATAATCACAAAATCCATGTGAAAAAAATCTTAGAAACACAAGGCGACCCTACAATTTCCGAGCTTCGTCCACTTTAAGTCTGTTTCTCGAGTCAATCCGCACCTCCAACTCAAAAACCTCAGCTCATACATCCCTCCAAAACACATTGAAACAGTAAAAAAAAATTGAAACGCTTTACAATTCGCCAATTGCTATGGCATTCTCGAAGTTTCCAAAGCCCATTATCACTTCCACGAAGAATTCTCAACTACCAAACCAGAACCCTAAATCTTATCTTCCGGTAATTGACACACTGATTGCAAATCCCAATCAAAACCCCGTACTAAACTCCGCTTTCAACCTCGTTTCCCCCCCTAAAATGCACCTTACCTCGACATGCTCCCAACTACCGATAATCCTATTCAATGGAAATGAATCCCGCGAACTCTTCCGCGGCAGCCAGCTACGAATCGCTCCCAAGCAACAATAAAGTTGTAGTGTGGAATTGCTCCAGGTCTCGGAGGCGCTCGTGTAACCATGGACGAGTCAGTTTCCTGGGATGGAGCGGGAGGGGCCGTACCCCGGGTCGGGTCGGGTCTAGTTGTGGATAACCCGCGACAGGCTCATTTCCAGATGCCGAGGTTCTTCTTTAACTGACGTGCGTGTAAGAGGCCCCGGTAGCTTCCCCGGTATTAAGCCCCGGTATCGTAGACAGTTATGCAGAACGGGATAGGGTCCCCCTTGGAGATGGTTGACAATGAATGACCAATCTCTGATTATCCGATAACCAGAGTTTATCCTGCAAAATTAATTGCATGAAAGTGCAATAGCCCTTGGACATTGGCTCTTTAATTACGGTCTCCAATGTCTAACCCTTTTATCTAGTGAAAAATTTATATATTTATTTTTCATGTAATTTATGTAAAACGATAAAGTAAATTAGTAACCCAATGTAATTTTTTTATGGATTTGTAATTTCACATGCAATATGTTAACTTCTTTTAAGCATTACATGATTCAATGGTTCTTTTTAAGAGAAAAACCAATTCGGCAAAAAGACAATAGAACACAACAGAACAGAACTCATCAAAGTAGTTGAAAGGGTTAATAACAAAGACTAAATAATAGTTTGATGATGGGTTGAAAACCTAATATCCAACATTTTAAAAAGCAGGGTTCTATAACAGACAATTTATGTAGTGTAATTTTTATTGAAAACTAAAATATAAGTAACAAACTAAACCCACAACAATTGTATGTGTGACTTTACAATCTAGAAGATGATACGATCCTTTTTTGGGTTGTTCTGTAAACAATAGACACACAAACTAGGTCAAACTCATTGTTTGAAATAAATGAAGCTCATTGACATCAGCTTGCAACAAACTGAAAATAAATGAAGGAATAAATAATCAGTGTGTTTCATATTCATTTTGTTGTTGATGTGATTACATCAATGATATAAGTTGCATTAAAACGTATTGGGTGTACTGAAGTATGGTAAAAAAAAGTTGATATCCATGTGATTTAACTTTATTTTTTTATTTTATAATTATTTGTTTTCTATTTTTTTTGTTTCAGTCTGTTCATTTACAAAATATGATTGAAAGAATTATCTTTACTCAACTCCAACAGGCTTATTATATGAGCATGTTCAATTTGTTGGTGTATGCATTTATGTTTGTGAATATATATATTTACACACACACATTTATGACTGTCCCCTCTTCTTCTTTGTTATGATTTTATTCATATACAACATCTATGTGCATATTACAACTATTTACTGCATAAAAAGGTTAATGAAATAATAATAATTCCAAAAAAAATACCACTACATGTATCTACATATAGATAATTAATTTTCCATAATCAATTTTCATTGACTTATGTATATCTACATATAAATTGATGTCAACAAAAGAAAAAATAAATGGTGGAAGATGAGAATGTTTGACAACTTTGTGAAAAAGAAAGAAAAAAGAAAAATAGAGTATTACTTCAACTTTGTGTAGATATTCCATCAATACTTTCACAAATAAAGCTCTTGTGTGCTAAATATGATCACATCATTGACATGAGTGACATGTATTTACTTGTTGTGCCTCTTTAGACTCGTTGTATTTATTTATAAAATCTTTTAAATATTTTTTAAAAACCTCACTTCTATTCGATTTGATTGGATTTTAATTTCTCTTTTTTCCAAATATTATAATTTGCATGAGTATGATTGCAGTTTAAAATAAAAATCCCTTTAAGATCTAGTGAAATCTACATTTGTCAAAAGTAAATAAACAATGTTAATGGTTGTGTGTGTGTGTATATATATATATATATATATACATACTTTTTGTTACAAAAATGTACTTATGTATGTATGTATGTATATAATAAAATCAAGATAACATGTCAAATACAAAATATCAATAGTTCTTACTATTAGTGATGGAAATTTCAATAGAAGAATTCAAGACCTCAATTGTTTGTAGTGATACAATTGAAGAGAATATATATATATATATATATATATAATGGATTGGATATTACAATGGCTCCATTCTCCTAATCAACAGAAGTTTGAATGAATAAATTCCAATCATGGGCTTGCATTAAATCTTACCCACAAACCAATTCTGATTGGAATGAAGAGAGAAAAAAATATAATAATAATAATAATAATAAAAACAACAGAAATGAAGTCAATTAGTCAGTGTGAATAGGGCTTTTATGATACCATACATAGTTAACACACAGGAAAGAATCAAAACATTCTGGATCTTAACAAATTTGCTCTTCAGCTACATTAGTCTCTTGCTTTGCTATATGAGTATTATGTTAAAGAAAATTATTGATGTACAATAATATATAATAAAATAATGAATCTCAATGCAGGTGATAAAATCATGAATTACTGAAAAGTAATATAATAAAACATCATAAAAGGAATAGAAATAAAATAAATTGTATTATTTATAAAAAATAAATAAATATGTATATAGACTTACACATATACATATATAACACACACACACACACACACACACATATATATATATATATATATATATGTGCATGTTATAGTTTTGATTTGTTAAAATAAACATAAATATAAATGCTTTAATAAATCTGGATAATTTTATATTATTTTAAAACAACATATATATAATAAATCATTTTTTTAACTTTTTGAAATATTAGTTTCATGAATGCACCATATGTTTTATTATTATTATTATTATTTAGTTTCTCTAAAAAATAATTCAAATTATATTGATATTAGAAATTTAATTTTATTTAATTTTTTAAAGTAATCATTGAAAAAATCTAAATATATTAATATGATATTATTCAAAAATTTATTATGAAAAAAATAATTGGAGTATTTTTTTTTAATTTTTTTTTCTTGAACCTTTAGAATAATAACAGTAAATATGATCACCACTTTATTCACATCAATAATGATACTAACATTTGAGTTTATATACAATGTCTTCTTGGTTTCCAACTTGTTCACTAATAGACTTAGATTAACTAATTAATAAATAGAAGTGCATTGAAATAAAAATGTAGAGAAAGATTATGATTATTTATTTATTATTTATTATTTATTATATTTATTAAAGACATTAATCTAAATAACTTTGTAAAAAATATTCTCATGTACAATTAAAAGATAAATAAAAAATAAAAAAAAATTATTTATAATATAAGAAGGTGATAGAATGTCTATTTTTAAGTTCAAAAGAGTAGAGACCCTTGAACCATGACTAAAGTACAAGAAAGGTCCATGATAAGATTGTCTATAATTTCAATCTTCTTTTTGTATCAACAAAAAAGTTATGTCTAAGTTTTTTGAGGACTACAAGCCAACTAACTAAATATTTTAATTGTAAGATGCTTTTATAATAATTTTTTAGATGTAAAAAACTTCTTAGAGAATTTTTTAAAGCTAAAAAAGATGTGACAAGGACATGAATCTTGAAGAAAGAAATCTTCAATATACTCTTGTCATTCAAAAGGACTAAAAAATCACTCAAAGATGATATACTATTAAACTAAAATAGTTGTTGCTAAATACAAGAAAATTAAAAAGTTTTAAAATAAGACTAATGACTATAAAGGCATTGACAAGAGTAAAGAAGGCTTTACTCTTGCTTCTATATATACTCTCAACTAGGAGTTACATTGCAATATCCTATAAGTCCTCTTAAACATATTGATTTTGCAAGACAAGTATCTTAACTTGAAAGACAAGTTTTTTTATATGTCTACCACATAGTTAGCTTATTCTATAAGCTATCAAGACAAAGTTAACTTGTTGACTAAGTTTCTAACCTATTAATCAACTATAAATACATATAAAATCAAAACAATGTCTATAAAGCTTCTAAAAAGTTTCTATAAAAAAATATTATAAAATAAATTTATTTTTATTTATTTCTATTTAATTATATAAATAAATATTAAAATAATTATATATAAATATGGTATTTCACTCTTTTCTAAAATAAAATTTACAAGTTATAGTCATCATATGTTGAAAAAATCTAAGATGCGACAAATTGTCTATGCCACATATTCTAATCTTTCTTGTCTTTTAAGTTGGTTGATAGATCTTTGTAGCCATTGATAGTGTCTCATACTAAGGTAGAAAGATCACCTTGTTATTTAATTATTTTTGAGGCCTTCATAACTACCTTCAAATAAAATATTTGTAATATCATTAAGAATTTGTCACGGACACAAAATACAGACTTGAAATCTAACAAGAAATTCAAGAAGAAGTGGCAGAACTAGATTAAACAGATGAGTATAAGAACAACACCAGAAAGGTGAGCTAGAACTCCAAGAGATGTGTTGTCGAGACTGAAGAACTCTTCAGCCTCGACTCCTATATATACTACTGGCCTATGGTTCTAAGGAAGCACATCAAGAAGCTTCCCAAGAACTATGAAGCTTCTCGAGCAACTACCCAATAGCTAGGAAGCTTCTCAAGTAACTTCCTAGAATCTACTAAAATATTCTAAGAATCTTCTAGAGCCTTCTAAGGGAATCTTTAGGGAATCTTCAAAGAATCTTTAGAGAATCTTTGAAGAATATTCTAAGAAAATATTCAAGAAATCTTCTGGAAGTTTCTAGAGACTTCTTTCTAGAAGGTTCTAGAAACTTGTCTCTAGAAAGGTCTAAGGACTATGTCCCTAACATCACCTCATCCTTTAGCTTCGAGGTCTCCGAGAAGCAATGTTATCGTCAGTCAATACCAACGCAAGAAAATGAAGATCTATCGCATAACCTCTTCTATGAACTCCAATTGTTGTTCACGAGGCAAGTGATTCAATGGTCCTTGAAGCCAACGGTAGTGGCCCACGCCTTCAACTTCTGAC